CAAGAGGAGACTGGGTCCCTTTGCAATCCCACGAGGCCCCATGATGGGTGGCCCCCACCTCTGGGACACCCCATCCATCAAAGCAGACAAGAGGAGAAGGGCTTTGGCCATCACCCCCAAGGTGTTGAGAGATTAAGCCCCATCTTACCGAGGATCGGGCAGCCAGTTGCTCCGTTGCCATGTGGGGAAGGGGCAGGGAAGGTCTTGGCCAACCGGTTCTGTGGGTCAGCCAGCTGGCAATGCTGTGGCACTTCTGCCCTCTCCTCTGGGATCGGAGGCAGGTTCCCTTCTTCACTGGCCTTTTCTGTGGCTGAAAGGAAGGCACCCTGGCCTGGCACACAAGGGTATCTCTCTTGCTTTTGCACATCGATGGCTGGATGGCCTCTTCCCCACAGTCAGCTCTTTTCCAAGGACTGGTGGTCCTGGAAACTGAAAGACCCCTTTTCTTTTAAACAATAAAGAGCAGCAGATTTTGAGCGGTTCACGTGCTTCCCTCCTGGGCTGAGATCTCCCTGGCATTCCTGTTAGTTTGTTTCAGAGATGGGGGAAACATCTCTGGCTATTTGGTCAGTTTTTCCCCTTCAGAATCATTTGCTTTTCTCCACCTTAACACGGGCCACGTATATTTACTGACACCCAAAAGGTGAAACAACCATGCAGGTTTAAGTGTCTCTGGCATTGCACAGCTTGCATCCAGGGACATCAAAAGAAATAAAGCTGTCCTTTATTTAAATAAAGCCCCCCATCCCTACCCCCACCCCCGCCTCTGGCAGCCAATATCTGCTCTGCTGCTAATCTGCATCCAGGAGGGAGAATTGTTGATGGATACACAAATACTTCCAAACAGTATATAGGATTTTACAAACTGTCCAACTCCATTATTGTCAAATGGACGACAGGCCCACATCTTCCCCGCTTTTTTCATTTTTCTACAATAATCTTTACTTCCAACTGAATTAATTATAAATTGATTGCTTGTCAAAGAAGATGTCCTCCATGCAAATTTTAGAATTTAATGCTTTCTGCCTGGAAATTGCTTCCAAACTCTCATAATCAGCCATCCTTCTGGGCAGTCACCTTTTTGGCACCCCTCCTGTGTCCGGGGTACCTTTGGAGTAGCTCCCCCATCCCCACCTGGGTGCCTAAATCAAAAGGCCATCACTTCTTGTCCTTTTATTTGCCTTCCTTTTCCCCAAAGAGCTTCTTCAGATGCTGGCTTATGAACTTCGACAGGCAAGAACTGTTTTCTGCTTTGAAACCACCCAAAACGAGGGACGGAAGAAGAGGAAGCCGGCCAAAGTGCCGCCTGGTGATGGAAGGACTGGACTGGACCACAGCTGCAGAGAACATGATCCAGGCCAAGAGAGCCTGGGACATCCCACAGATACTTTCATGCGCTTCCTACTGATTTAAGGGGCCAGGGAACTGGGGGGGGGGGGACTGCGGAGCACAAAGGATCTCAAACTCCTCCCCAGGTCTCCCACCCGCCCTTGGCCCCTGAGGGACAGCCAAAGGCAGAGGTCCCTCCATGGGCACAGCATGTCCAGGGCTATTCCGGCGCCCAGCCTCTGGGCTTCAGTTGGGAGGAAATGGGCGTCCGTGGCCGGCTGCTGCTGCCCACGGCTCTCCCTTTAGCTGCCACTCCTGGGCCTTCCTTCCGCCTGGACTTATCAGGGAGTGCTTAGCCATGTTGGCAATCCATGGCTGTTAGGCTCATTCCACAGGCCAAGACGAAGAGCCCGAGGGCGTCCAGGCAGGCCAAGCTCAGGCTGCCTTAACCAGGTCCCTGGGATCAGTGGAAGCTGCAGCTCCAGAAGGGCCGTCAGGATGGCTGGAGAAGGGTTGGACTACCCTGCAAAGAGAGGGCAAGCTTGGCTCTCCTAAGCCCTCAAGGGCCTTCTCAAGTGAGTGGAGGATAATAATAGACCAAGATTAAATCCAACAAGCAGAAAGTTTGCCTTCTTATTTGTATGACTTCATACATATCTGAAAGTCTGACTGGAGGAAAATTTATGGGAAAACGTCAGGCAGGAGCTGATGGGCAGCTGTTGCTCCCCCCTCCACCCACCCACAAATACCACCCTGCTTAAAGGACTGTAAGATCGGCACCAGAGGTCTGAGGGAGCCTTCCCCTGGCCTCCAGACAGCTGCAGAGGGGACACCTGCTGCTTTGCTGCCATCTGCTGGTCAGGCAGGGAAAGAACTGGCCCAACACCTGGATCAGCCTCTGCTTCTGAACAGCTGGCTTGCCCCTCATCTAGCAAGCATTGTGAGTAGCTGGCTATGCCATCATTGAGCAGGCCAGCCTGAGAGCAGCCACCAAACTGGCTTCTGGCACTGTGAGGAGACGTGAGGGGAGTAGACCTCCCTCTCTTCTCCCAGCGTTCTTGCTCTGCCACCTGGAGGTTCCTAGGGGCCCCAACGGAGCCTCCTCAGTTCTGCAAAGCGTCACTCCCAGCCAATGTGACAAAAGCAGATACGTGTGCTTCCCTAGGAATTGCATTACTTAACCAATTGTTGAAACTGGCCTCTTTAACCTAGTTAATCTCAGGCTCGTCCTTCTTCCCTCCTTATCACGAGTGATGGCAGCTGCTGCTCTGGAAATGCCCGGTGTTTAGTAAGTCCAACCAATTCTCTTTTTGCGAGCCCTTTAGTGTTGGTAATGCGGCAGGGGGCCAGGCTGAGAAAGTGGCTCACAGCTCTTCCCCTCCTATGGCCTTGAAGAGCAGAAGCTCCCTGCTTGTGAAAGGAGCCAGCTGCCCTGCAGGACCCCCCCACCCCCCAAATCCCACCCGTGACAAACTCCCACTCCTCCCACTCAGCACTGCCAAGTTACCCGCTTTGTAGGGAAGAGCTTTGCAGCAGCCACACCTACCTCTTCCATCCTTGGGTCTCCTTCCTGTCAAAGTTGTGTCCCTGCACACCACCTTGGAAAGCTTCCTGGTTTTGGGGGCAACTCCCAGAATTCCCTGGCCACCACATCTCTCACTGAGAATCCTGGGAGCCTGGAGGCTTGACTAGATATGGCTTTTCCCACTTTTGAGTTGTATGATGCCATTAAGAGTTGTAGAGCTGCTCCTCCCTCATCCCAGTAAACAGTGTGTGTGTGTGTGTGTGTGTGTGTGTGTGTGTGTGTGTGTATGTTGGGGGAGAGAATGGGACAGAGCATGGCGTCACCAAATTCCTGGTAAAAATTTGAGCACTTCATAGGGAAGCAGTTTAACATTCTGGAAGCAAACAAAATTAAGTATGATCTGAATAAAAATGGGAATTGGGCATTGTGAAAAAAGCCAAATTCAATAAACTTCAGGGGAGGTGTCCTGATCCATTTTATCCATGGATAATTAACTGTGATATCTTTCTAAAATGAGAATAATTGAAAACAGGGATTTAAAGTTGATTCATGGAGATATTTATTATTGCAAGCCCAGAAGATCTGTCTGGGTTTTGTCACTAGGGATGACTAAACTTGGTATCCAGATGTTTATTTAAGTTGCTCCCACATAGCTCTGAAGCCTGTTAGCAGAAGGTTATCAGAGAACAGCCCTGCAAATCTTCTTTGACTATCTCATTTCTTCTGCAACTTCGATGTTTTCTTTCATTAAAATTCTTACCCCTTTGCCAGAAGGGGGAACAAATCTGCTTGGTCTGCAAAAGAATGACTGAAGACATGACACATCATCAGGCCTTCAGTCTGAAGAAAGCCAAGATTTTTCATCCCATCGTTAACCCTTGCAAAAATTGGTGTGGTGACAAACCGGAGGAATTAGAATAGGAAAAAAAAGACCAATAAGGGCTCAAAAAGTTTTTTCACAATTTAATGAGGAATTAATAAACTCCAGCATTGAGTTTAGATGAAATTACTCTTCCTTTATATAAAAAAGACAAAACAAAATAATCCAAAGATATATTTATCAACAGTCTGCTATAAAACAAAGATAGGTGGTAGCTCAGGACTGTTAGAGATGGATGGACCAATTTCCCCCCAGAAACTGATTAGAGCTCAGGAAGGCCTCTGGAGCAGTGTTTTGTAAACCTGGCAATGTTAAAATGTGTGGACTGGGGAATTCTGGGAGTTGAAGTCCACACATCTTAAAGTCAAGTTTGAAAAACATTGTACAGGAGCAACAGGGAACAGCACAAGTAGAACAAAGTACATGTTTGTGTTATGTTTGTATGTGTGTAAGAGAGAACAGCCATTGTTGTCGTAGGTTGTACCTGTTCACTTGCAAAGATAAGGGTGGATGTGTTTGAAAAACACTCAAGAAGACTGAGTGGAAAAGCCCCAGTCCCCTGCCCTATTTGGATCACCAGTACAATCAAGCCAATCAGTGGGAAGGAAGAAAAGGTAACCGGAAAATGGGCGTAAATTAGAGAGGCAGAATTGTTAAGCAAAACTCTAGAAAAGGACTGTAACTCTTCTACCCTTCAGGTTGATAAAAAACCAGTTATCAGTGGCCCTGCAGCTCCCAGTTTAAACAAATAAAGGGTGGGGACAGAGGAGCCCCCCATTTGAATCCTCCACTGAGGCTGCACTCTTGTCTGGAAGACATTCATGTGGGCTGAACTGTGTTGCACTTAAGATTTTATTAGGGTCACCAGAGCTCCCCTCGTGATCAAACAAGACCTCTTTAAGTGCCTCAGTCACTCACTGAAATGCTACTAGGGCAAAAGTTGGATCTGAAATTCAGCTCCTCCTTCGGGAAAGCAGAGTATGAAAGCAACAGAAAACCCTCTGGAATGAACGCCTGGACAGCTGCGGCCTTTTCAGGCCAAGCTCTCCCACAGGATCTCGCAAACCAGCCTCCCCATCAGCCTTAGTACTTCAAGGTTCCAGCTCTTCCTCCAGGGCCATTTGGGGAGGGCGGGGGGGGGGGACACACCCAGCAGTAGAGGCAACCACCCTAATGCAGGATGATCTTTTTTCCTCCTCCAGGAGATAACAAGAAGATCCATATAGTGCACAAAGGTCCCAAATTGTAATGTAAATTAAAAATAATGTAGAAAACAACACTAATACTAACACTAATACTGCAGCCTTGAACTGTGTTTGCTCAACCCTCACCAGAGAAGATTCCAAGGCAGCCAGATTTCTGCTACACCTGCACTGCTGCTCTTTGATCCCAGTGCCTGGGAACCTGTTTGGCCAGGCATTGCTCTCCTTTCCTAATGCTTGTGATGAGCGGCCATCAGGCTCCAGAGCTGTGCTGAGCACAAACCACAGTCAGGTTCCTCAACATTGTGCAGCTTTAGGCAACACTGATGCTACCCCCAGGCAAAGCACACTCCAGACAGGCTCTGAGCATTGGGAACGTCTTCAGTGAGGCCTGTCTCTCATCTGCCAGCTCTATGGAATCAGTCCTCAGCTGAGCTGTCTCTCTCTTCATCCCTGACTTCTCTGTAGCCGGTCATCATCTGCCCTTCTGGCTCACAGTGAACCATCTTAATCCCAAGCCTTTCAGCCAGCTTTTGGGCAGCAACCTTAGCTTGCATCTCCTACAACAACAAGAAAGAAAACCTGGCTTCAGACATTTGAATAAGTGTCAGGCAAAAAGCTAAATTAGGTTATTGCAAAGCAAGTACACTTAAGGTATGCAGGTCACTAGACTCCTTTCAAGAAAACATTGCAAAATTCAAGGAGAGGAAAAAGAAAGGAGGATTCACAATAGATGATGAGAGTTTTGCCAGATAGTGACGATCAGAAAGCATCTGGATATCAAAGGAACATCAGAAAGAGAGACAGGACAGATACGTCACAGAGTAAATAAAGCCAGATGTTTCATCAAAGGCTTTATAGAGTCATGTTTCAAATGGAAGGTGTTCAGAGAAAGAATTGTATTCTGAAGCATTTCTGGGGGAAAAGAGACAGTGATGCTTGGAGCAGATTTGATATTTCTTGTCTCTACGGTATTTAACCAGCCAAATGGCGCAATTATTTTCCACCTTCTGGTCACAAATACCCCCCCTCCCCCCCAGCTTCCCTGGTCACTTGAGAGCGCCCAAGAGAGAGAAGTAGCAGCGGCGGCGGCGGGGCGGACGGAGTCTCGCTTCCCAGCCGCGGTCGGCAGGCCCTCCGTCCCTAGCCGGGCCGCGCTCCCCGTCCGCACCTGCCGGGCCTCCTCCTGCCGGGCCTGGAGGACCACCGATTCAGCCAGGGGCAGCAGCTGAACAGGCGCGTGGCGCAGGGGGGGCAGCCGGGCGGCCGACGCGTCCTCTGGGCGCTGCTTCTCATTCCGGGGGGCTCCGCTGGGCCGCCTGCGGGAGAGAGCTGCTTAGCGGGGGGCCGAGAAGGACCCCGCAGGACTCGCCCCGACCCCGCCATACTCACGGGCTGGCCCCATGCCGGCCCCGCTCCGCCGCCGCCAAGGAGAGGCCGGGCAGCGCCCCCCGGGCGTCGCCGCCGCCGCTCAGCCGCCGCCGCTCGCGCTCCGCCACCGCCGCCCGCAGCCTGGCCGCGCATTCGCGCACGCGCTCGCCGCCGTCGGGCAACCGGGAGACCGCCGCCCTGCAAGGCACGAGGGAGAGGCTGAGTCCGCGCGCAGCAGGCCGCCCCCCGCCCGCCCGGCCCTCCGGCCCTCACCGGTCGCCCAGCAGCCTTTCCTGCCGCAGAAGCATCTCCCGCAGCTCCGGCAGGCTCCGCCCGCTCAGCGGGTTCGGCTCGGCTTCCCCATGCGGGCAACGAAAGACCGTCCGCGGCGGGGCAACGCTCTTCCGCCGCCTGCTGGGCGCCGCCATCTTGCCGGAAGCTGATAACGGCGGCCGGGCGGGCCAAAAGACCCGGGAGTGGCGGCGCGTTTCGCGGACGAGGCGACCGGCAGAACTGCCACCGCAGGGGCCCGTTGTGGGCTCTCCCGGGCGGGACGCGCTGTGGCTCCCTCGGGCGGGGGAGCCCCTCGGGGGTCCCGGGCGGCCGCGGCGGGCACCGTAGAAGCGGCTCTGCCCTGCGCCCAGCGCCGCCGCCGCCGCCCCCCCCTGGTCCCCGCCGGCAGCGCCAGCTCGGGCGACAGCCGCGCTCCGCGGGTTGAGCTCCCCACGCGCGTCCCTGAGCGGCGGCCGACGTCAGGGGCCGGCCGAATGCGGATCGCCAGCCCGCAGAAACCGGAGCGAGGCCGTGGGCGCCCGGGAGCCGGCCTGGAGGCCATGCCCGAGAGGAGGAAGCGGCGCCCGGCGGGAGAGGAGCCCTGCCCAGGGTGGAGGCAGCTCTCGCCCGGGCACCCCTCTTGGCGGGTCAGGGAGCCGCTTCCGCTCGACCGGATTCCCGGCCAGAGGAGGGGAACTGTGAAGGGGACAGTTCAGAAATAATTCCTCGTTTTTCTCGTTTTGGGGAGCCTGGCAACTCAGATTTGTATGCAACTCGGAACAGATCATTGGCAGTTAGACAACTGTTAGTATATAGTATTTATTTCACCTTTGTATGCATATGAAACGCTTAAGAAATAATGTTATCTGATTAAAACTAGTAGATTCTTCCTGGAGCGGACAAACTGTAAAGCCACACAATCTCTTCATTAGCCATGAAAACAGTGTATTAAAAACGCACACACCACTCTGTGACCCTTAGAAAACACTGCACAGCTTCAGGGGTTCATTGGCTCAAGGAAGAACGCTATTCACCATTTTTAGTAACAGTCTGTTCATAAATCCAAACTGTAAATTGAATGCTCTTAATCCAGGGACTGCTTGTACTCAGTCCAGGAGTCAGGCAGGTGGTACCATTTGCCTCTTGCCTGGGAGTGATTATCTTTGGAATCAGTAAGCCCCCCCCCCCCCAAGCCGTATTTACCAGTTAAATAGGGCAGTTCCACAAAGAATGACAACTTTATTCAGGTGTCTATACACAGGACATTCCTTTAAAAGACCTTAAGGGAGAAATACTTAGAAAACTTGGGTTTATAAAACAATGTAGCCATTTAAACATCTGAATTGGAACTTTACAAGTAGAAATGTAAGAACTGGCATATACTGGCACGTAAGACCCGGGCAGAGTGTCCTGGATCCAGTGGAAAGGCAGGTGTGGAAGGATCCCCTGAGCAAAGCGGCTCAGGAGCGCTGAGATTTCTCACCTGGAAATAAACTTGATGATGAATGTGCCCTTAACTCAGAAAGCTGGAGAGGCCAAACCTTTATGCACCCACACCCACACCCAGAGGAAGGCAGGGTGCTCTTGCTGGGCCATTGTGCCCTCTTCCTGCATTAGGGTTGAGGAGCATCGTCAGCATGGCAGAGCCACAGGTGCACATCCACAGTACGTGGCAATCTCTCTTGGGCTGTAGCTGCCGCCAGAAGCAAAGTCACCATAATGAATATTATTCCAAGAGAAGCATGAAGACATGCCATCTTGGATGAAGTTTGGACCATGGATCCATTTCCCAGAATTCCCGGATGGAAGCCTCTTGTGCAGCTGCCTGAAGTGCAGAGCTGCCTTCCTCCCCCGAAGCAGCAGCTCTGCTGGCCTCCCAGTCCCCAGGATGGCCTCAGTGCTCGAGGGCCTCAGTGGCGCCCTGCACTGCTTGCTCCCCTCCGCCCATTGAGCTAGCTGGCTGGGTACGGCCTCACTCGCAGGGGGCTGCTGGGCCCAAAACACGGTGCTTGGAAGAATATTCCAGGACCCGCAGGAATGGGCGGTAGGTTCTGGCTGGCTTCAGCTCCTCAGGAGGCAGTCGGCTTCCGTTTTCAGGGCTGTTGGGACAGAAGCAACCCCACTGTGAGGTGAGACATTTAGATTTCAACCACACAATTCACTGCACAAATATTAGGTTGCAGACGCTGGAGGAACAGACCCTTGAACTCACAAGGAGGCAAGGTCATGAGGCTTAAAGCCTTTGTAAATTAACTTTGGCTCACTAGGAACATTAAAGACAGGACAGCCTGGAAACAGCCCATGAAGCCAGCCTTCTTGTGCGCAGAAATGCCTCACCTGCAGTCCCCTCTGGGCGGAAGCTGCCAGTTGGCACAATTGGCAGGCTGGAAAGGCAGGGCTCAGCCTGTGGCCAGGGCTTTGGCCCACTGCTGGTAGGAGGCCTCGTGACAAAATGCTTGCCAGGGACCCCAGCCTCACCCACAAAGGCACAGGGGAAGCCCCTCCAGCACCCGATGTGTCCCCTGTGGGACACTCCCCAGCTCCTTCCAGGAGGCAAAGGAGCCCCTGGACGGCTTGAGGCTGCTACCTGGCAGGGAGGTCACATCCAACCCCAATGTCTCTGGTGTCCACCTCAGGCCTGGATTGGGTCTCCTTCAGGTAATCCAAACGGTCCTGCAGTTCCTTGTTCTGAAAGACACACAATGCAGCCCACTGGTCTTTCCACTTTCCCTGCCCTGACAGCCAGGTCTTCCACGCCCAGAAGGAGAAAAATGTGGTCTCGCTGAAGGGGCAACACAGAACTTCACATTTTTCATTTTTCTAAAGCGTCATTTCCCAGATGTTCTTCCAAGGTGCAGGGAGGATATGTCATGAAAGAACTCCCCCATTTCACCCTCACAACAACCCTGTGAGTTAAGCTAGCTTGGAAGGGGGGGCAGTGAGGGACCCAAGGGAGTTTCATGATGAACAAGAACTTGAACTCAGCCTGGCACTCGAGGACTCTACACCGTCTCCTGGCCAGTCTTAAAGAGGCTTTGGACGGGTGGTTTTTAATTGTGATCTAAGGATGGTCAGAGTTATGGATGAATGCAGATGTCTGCTGAGGACCTTCAAAACCTTCAGAATTTTACAGGCACGAAGGAAGGTGGGCCCTGTCCAAGGAGGCTAGCAATCTAATATGACCCAGGAAAATCAAAGCAAGTCACCAGAATTAAAACCATGACTGAAAGAGTTCAAAGCAGCTGAAACAGACGCAGCCCGAGAGATTTTACGCAGGAAAAACTGAGGATCAATTGTAACCAGTAAGGATAATGTTCTGACAGTTAATCAAAACCTTACCTCTCCCTCTAGAAAAGAGATTTTCTCTAAAAGTTGTAATATAAAGATTTCCTTTTGTTTCAGCTTTCTCTTTTGTAGCGCTATCTATGGAAAAAGAACAAAAAAACAGTAACTCCAGAAAATGCCACAGCATCATTCAGTTGACCCACTGTGGAGACCTTGCAATCGAAGCTTCTCCACGATTCATTCTGTTAGCATTAGAAGGTGACATGACAAGTCTTAAAAAACATTTTTTGCAGAATACAGTTGGGTAATGTTCGAATTGCAATTGAGGCACAAGTAAGTATTTAGCACCAGGAAACAGAATTTGCTTTAGGATTCTGAGAATGAATCCAAATATTTCCTTTTTTTAATTTAGAAGGGGTTTCCCCCCATCTTTCCAACAAAAGTGACCAATAGGATCAAAACATTAAAATCATGAGATAAATCCTACAGCCAGAAATACTTTTGATTATTTCAGAAGACTGAACCGTCATGACCAGAAGGCAGCTGCTGGAGGCCAGGCGAAGGAGTCTCCCTCGGACCCCAAAAGAGGGAAAGGGTGGGAGGGGCTGCTGATGCTCAAGAGCCCCTCCTTCCTGGGGAGGGGGCGAAGCAGACTCTTGCCCCCTGCCTTGATCCGTTGGAGGGTGTTTCCCTTGAGCCCATCATGGCAATCTGGCAGGTTTCAAAAGTGGAGGATTTGATCTCCACAGGGCAGGAGTTCAGTGTTCATGTTCCCCCCCCCCCCCCCCCCCCCNCCCCCCCCCCATACATCTTGACTTTCATGGAGAAAAAAGGCAGGAAATACATTTCAGAAATAAGGACTCCCCCATTGTCAGACTCCACCAGCGAGGCTGGGGAGATGTGTCTCCTTGCCCTGAATAGAGTTTGCCTGGAGTTTTGGACACATTCATGCTTCAGCTTTCACTTCTGGCTTTTGCACACGAAACTGCTGCCCATCCTCTGCGCTCCCAAGTTCTTTAGAAGAAAGTGCAAATGTCAGTGACAATACATTGTGGCTTGTATCTCATAACCAATGCACAAGAGCACAGATTTATTGGGCATACAGACAAATGTGCCGTCATTTGGAAAAGCTGGGAATTCAAACAGTGTCCTTACCAGTAATTGGGCTGACACACTGGCCTTCTGAGGAAATGCAGACTAAATGAGCCACACGGGGCAAGATTTTCTCCTCTTCAACTGCTCTGTTTCCTGCATTTCACTGGAACTGTTGCCACAGAAAACCTTGGCAGAGGCCTCCCCAGCCATAAATGACACATATTCCCCACTATCGGCACTGGGAAGCAAGGGACAGGAGCCAGACCAGCGGGGAACTGAGAGCAGAGTGTTCTGGTGGAAAAGGAAGGAAGAGCTGGGCGTGTGCATGAGTGTGCAAGAGAGAGGGGTAGCAATTCTGGCTCCATCAGCCTGAAAGGAAATGCTTGTGCAGCAAGGTTTCAGACAGACACCCAACAGGACAGCAAATACACCAACCCCTTAAAAATAATGACCAGCTGGCAATTATTTTATCTCAATTAGAGTAATAGCAGCATGGAATAATAACTACTCTTTCCTTGTTTGTTCTTTAGTCAGCAAAGTCGCTCTTTGTTGTTTTTAATAAACGTATTACACACACACACACGCACACACATACACACTCCTGCAGCAAAAAATGTTTTCAAAACAACATAATTGCAAGTGGAAACAATTTATTAAAACTTCAATAACACGTTTTAAGCAATGGGACACTTTTGTAAAAAAAAAAAAAGGAGTTCATTGAAATACAGAGTTGCCAAAAGAGCAGCAGAAGAGAAGCGTGGAAGCTGGGCCTGGCCCCAAACCTCTTCTTTGCAGACTAAATCTCCGGAAGCCGGGCTGAAAGACCCCACCTGGAGGGTCTTCTCCTCTGGCCCTTCCAGCCTGATGTCTGCAAGATGCTATTCCAGAGAAAAAGGCACCAGCCTTTTAGGTGGGGGAGGCTTCAGCGCCCAAGCACCACCAATTTAGAGTGAAACAGCAAAGTCCAGAATCAATAGGCTTTTCTTTAAAAATAATTACAAAGTACTTATTAAAGCACACTTTCTTATAAACAAAATTGTACTACGTAATAATATTGCACAAGGCAGCATAAGATAAAAAGTGAACTGACCGAGTCTCTGACCTTCAAGTGATTGTTCTGTGTCCCAGTTTTGCTCCCTGGGAATCTTCCACCACCAGTGCAACAAGGGAGCCGGGGAGAGGTGGAGTGGGGAAAGAGATAGGACAAATTGACAGTTGCTTCCAGCACATCTGCCACGGAAGCACAACCAGCAGTTTTCTCTGTCTTGGTGGACACTTTTGGTGACATCTGCTTCTCCCATCTGTTTTCATGGCAGTTTTCACTTCCTTGGGATTCATTCCATCGACTCAAAAAGTTTTCCTTGGATAATCTTCTCTTTCACAGTAGCCAGAAAGTCCTGTTCTCCCTGGACTTTGCCCCTCCACCTGGACTCCCCATCAACTGTAGAGGCCAAGCAGGAGTCAGAAGAAGCCATTTTGGCTTTCATTGCAAAGGATGTCATTGTCCTGTCAGACTGCTGGGCCTTCTGACTCGATATTGCTACACTATTACTAGCAACTCTCCAGAATTGCAGGCCAAAAAAACGCCCTTTCAGCTTTCATTACTTCCAGTTTAAAGTTTACTGAAGGTGTCCTCCAGGTTCATCCATCCAGAGGACAACCAAAAGCAGAATGCTATGTAAGAGGAATATGGAGTGGAGAAGGACTTATCTGATAAGGAGAACCAGGGAACAGCTTAGACCTCTACATGTTTATTAACACAAGTCACCTATTAATACAAATGTCACTAGCACAAAAGGAATCGTTTTACTTCTGGAGCCAACTGCATTTCGGTCTGCGCAGAATCTCTGCCTAATCCAAGCCAAGTGGAATTCCACCCGAGAATCTCAGGAGACTCTCAGTGCACCCATGCTGCCACTGGGGGGTGGGCGGGACACAGCTTAACTCTCTCTCACATTTTTTGACAATGTCTGTGACTGTCATTGCAAAGAGATGCCTTTAGGTGATGAAATACTTCAAGCCCTCTGTACTGCTTTTCCTTCTGTGCTCAGTCTGGACTTAAGCCTTGGCTCAGGTTTCGCAATGGGAATGACATGAAAATATCACAAGTTCTTGAAGTCTGGTGATTGCACCTCTGGTGTGTGTGTGTTCATGCTTTACCTTTTGGCATCCATAATAAGCAGATGAAGAGACCCCCCTTTCAGCTCCATCCAAAAGGGGAATACCGAGACAGGATTCTTCTGGGTTGCCTTCTTTCCATTCAGCGTTCAAGAACCATTGTAAAGGCAAGCCCTCATGCTGGGCTCACAGTGTTTATGGCCAAGAGATTTCAGGGTTTCTTCTTTTGGACAGTTTCTAGCTGGACTGTCCATCAGGACTGCCATCATACCACATTGGACTTTTCCAGGTGAGCTACAATATCACAATCCAGTTTGGAGAATATTTCTTGGCACCAGAGTCATTTTTCTCCATGGTATGTAAAGGATCCTGCCTCTTTTTGTGCTGGGTGACTCCCATCTATCATCGTCCAATGAATCTGAGACTAAATGTGGAAAAGAGCTCATGGGCCATAACCTAGAGACAGTGTGATGCAGTTGGTTAGGGGAAGGTCGCTCTAAAAGTGGACTCTGCAAACAGTTTTGTCAAATAAGGAACTTCTTTTCACACCTTCCTTCCAGGCTCATCCTGTCCTCCCATCTCTTAATCAGCCTGAGGGGGGAAAGTCCACTACCTGAACAAGGAGCTGAATATTAGTCCCTATAATTAGTCAACATCAACTTGGTGGTTCTTTCAGTCTTATTAAGTGATAATTTCATATCACAAAGGTTCACAAAATACATCAACTTCTGTGTGGTCATTTTACTTTACTTCAGTCTTACGGTTAGGGTTATGTCACCATGAACTTGGAGGGCAAAATGCACATTGCCAACAAATTCGGAGTGCTTGGGTATGGTTAGGAGGGCACTTACTTTTCTAGCCTGCCCCATCTATGTTTCCTGGTAAAATACTTGGGAAAATCCCACTGGCGAATCTTTTAGAGACCAAGTACCCAAACTGCAACCCAAAACCCACTTACGTATTGTCAGGTGCCGGGCGGGCGTGGCTCATTGGGTGGGTGTGGCCAGTTGGGTGGGTGTGGCCCATTGGATGGGCGTGGCTGCGGTGGTAACGGCAGACTGGATGGGACTAAAAAGTTCAATCAATCAATTCCCCGCAAGAAGTTGAAATTGATTGAACCTTTTTTTTTTTTGCACACGGCAGCGGAGGCCTAAAGCGAAAAGATTTTATAAAACCCAGCTGAAGGCCTAGGACTGGGGCGACAGCGCATGTGCCCACAGAGAGGGCTCTGCATTCCACCTGTGGCACTAAACCCTGATCTGGATGTGCACATTCAAGACAGCTCTTCTAAAATTTCTTCTGGAAACTTACATGAAGTGTGAGAACTTCACCACAAAGCGGGAGAATCTGTTTTCCTTTGGATGTTACTCTGCTCTTGGGATTTTTTCTTAGGAGCTCTAATCATCAGCCAGATCATTTGACTCTTTGTATAGGTGCATTACAGGTTTTCCGCATGGTGCGCAACTCACCTCCTCAACCATGTGCTTGACTTTCTTTTGCTGACACAGAACCATGTCGTCCAGGTGCCGGATTCGTTCTCGGAGACTGTCAGTTATTTCCTCCAACTTGAGAGACCTGACCAAGGAAATAACCCATTAAAAAAAACCCGATTATACTCTTTGGTACGTTGCTTCCCCACAAGCTCGATGTATTTTTGCCTCACAGGAGAAAGTTTCCTTAGCTGTGTTGAGAAGTGGATCAGACAGATGGGGAAGGCTGAAAGGGGGCTGAAGCCAAAGAGCTTCAGCCCTTCTTGTCCCCCTTTAAGTAAAAACAGGTCCCAGCTGGTTCTTCAAGGGCTTTCAAGAATTCTGGTCTGAGATTTTTTTTCTCTCTGCTAAGGTTTCTCCATGATCCTGCACTTTCTGCTTCCTGTTTTCCAGAACAGAGTCCAGCTTGCCATGGTCACTATCACCTCCCCAGGCCTGCTCGAACAGACCTTCCAGGATGGGAGCAGGACATCTAGACATATCCCTGTTCCAACTGAGTAGCCTCCCCAAGAGAACCTCAAGACCAAGTTCCCAACAGGTGATCTTACCTTGGTTGGCTGGACTGGTTGTAAACACCTGCTCCTTGTAGTTGCATTTCATACTCTATTAATTGCTCTTGCAACTGATGGCGTTCCTGAGGAGATAAATACAGAGAGAAATAAGTACGCTTTGCTTTAATCAACGACTGGGCCTTCCTCAGTAGCCATCATGCCAGTCAAGTAAGTGAGGGCATTGACTTTCCAAAGCAACACTCACTGCTGGGACTAAGGACAGTGCCGGGATACCTCTCCCGAAACATGCCTCGCATTTCACTTCTCTGTCAGAGATTTTATTGCAGCCTGTGAAGGTCGTAACTTTAATAAACCTGCTGTTAATTTATAGATTCCAAACAAAAGAGGGAACTTCCCCCGTAGCCTTAAAATCGCCTGTGAGTCTTCTAGTGCAAGAATCTGCCCAAGGAAATTGAGAGCGCCACCCTCTACAAGTCACTCAAACCAAGGCTTGATGAACTCCCCATCTCCAGCTCTCTGGAGCTGCATACTGGTCCTCAAGTAAAGAAATTAATCCTTTGGAACCCAATCTCAACAGGACAATCCTGCTCCAGCCAACCTCTCCCTATGGACTTGACCTGTCAAATAAGTGAAAGGAGCAGCACTGAAAAGAGTCTGAAGGCCTCCATGCCAAGAAAGAGGAAGATGCCTGGGAAAAAGTGCACTTTTACATTCTGAAGAGAGAGAGAGAATCTACTACAACCAGTTCAGCAGCCCCGTCTTTCCGGTGGCCTGGATTATATGGGCAGCATGACTTGTTTTCCTAGGCAAATTGTGAGTTCCTAAGAGAAACCAGTCTGCTGACACATCATTCTGGTTTCTGAAAACTCATCATGCTCTTTGGCATCGCAATCTTTCGCAAACCTACATTGTCCATTCCTGCCATGGTTGGTGGACTTGACAGTTACTTGGAGGCTGAACCCCTTCCCTTCCAGCAGTAGCCCACAGAAAGGAAGGAAGAGCAGCCTGGTCTCTCTGCCTTCCAGCTGCAAAAGGGATCTTTTGTCTGCAGACCACCGCCAGCCATTTGATCAAGGAGCAGACACAATAACCTCTCTAGAACAAATATTTTAATATATGGGCTGCAGGAAAATGATAAAAAGGGCAGACCCTGGCCATCATGCTATGTAGGTGAAATATTGTGGACTGCAAAAATTTAGGGGATTTTAATTTTATTTTGCAAAGTGCGATGAGCGTGGAATAAATACCCCTCCCCCCCACACACACAGACCCCCATCCTGTTATATTGAGAAAGAGCCTTGAGTGATGCTCTTACATCTTCCATGCGCCGGATAAGTCGGTCCAGCTCTCCAATTCGCTGGTCTTTTTCCTGCAAACTTGTCTCTGTAACTCTCATCTCCTTATTGGCATCCTCAATGGCCGTAAGTAAACGATTCGTTTCCAGCTTCCGAGAGAGAAACACAGGAATCACATTCCCTTGGCTGGCGAGTCCAAGAGCCGCCTGGCTTCTAACAAGGGGTTGCTCTCCCCTTTCCCCAAATCCTAAGAATGGCTTGCAGCAATAAGAAGCCACCCATTCCTGGTCTTCCACAAACAAATTCCCACGTCCCTCCTGGCAAAACCATAATTTATTCCCAATGATTTTACAGCTGTTAAAATCCCCAGGGAAAAGAAGTGAATTCATATAGAATTATAGAAAAGACACCATATCTTACCACCCAATTGCCCAAATGCTTATTTGGAAACTATTAGTTTTCTCATTGCTGGGAAACCTGAGCTTCCTTCTTGGCTAAAGTCAGCTTAACTTGTAGCTGAGTTTAATGAGACTGACTTCCAGATAATATGCACAAAGCCACCGCATCAGCATATTCCTCAGTTTGCTTAGGGATCCTTATTCCTCACCGTCATATTTTAAGAGAGGAAATTCTGCACTAAGTAAAATGTTTTCTATAT